TCTAATTATTCTGGAATCCAGCTTACTTTTTATGCGTTTTTGTCGTGCAGCGCTAGAGCGCTGCAAAAGGTAGGAAAAACGCATACTGCAACGACGCTGTCAATGTGTGTGTTCGTCTGTCCGGGTGTTTCAACTCGCCAACCACGCAAGCTTTGAACCGCCTGGGGTTTTAATTCAAATCCAACAATAGTGTCATTTTAAGGCTGAGCTTTACAGCAGTCGTATTTATGCTTCTTCAGCTACTCACGTGAAGAATGTTGTTTTACATGAATTTTGAACTCATTCCTTTCAGGCCAAATACTGCTGAGTGGCTGTTCCCGAGAAGAACCGGCCCGTTATGACCATATTCGGGCGCGGGTCGACCACCAAAAAAGAAAATGTGGATAACGCTGACGGCCGCAATTCAGGTTGTTTGAATGCATTTACCATGCATTTTTACACAGATATACGACTGAATGTAATAAAAGATGTGCTTCAAAAAGCCAATCCATTATGGTTTTTGCGGTGAGTTATGCTTGGGTTATCAGCACTTCCAAGAACCGAATGTGTTTTGAAGTGAAATTCTTTTGGCTGATTCAACAGACTATTCATCCTTCGCTGTTTTGTGCTTGGCTGTACTGAGCAGTGAGGGGATGAGTTATCTAATGCCGTCTTTTGGACTTTTGCCGTTGAGTATTTCTCTCAGTTCTGAATTCAAACAGTATCACATCAAATTTCTTGGAAATACTGCATAACATTAATTTTCTAGAAAAAGTTTGACGCACCAATGTTAAAAATTTCGGTGTATAACTTCTTTCGTGCTTCTGTTGCGCCAGTAGGCTAAAATTTGAGTCTAAAGTCACGAAACAGAGTAAAAAGAAGGATCTAAAAATACTTACAGATCACATGTTTCAGGTACCACGAAACCAACAGCACTCATTGATGGTGTGACGACACCTCCACGGGGTTTTGGCATACGCTCTTATCTTCATCAGTTCTACCAGTCACCAACTGTTGAGGACATCGAATCGGCCGGAGCGTGGTGTGCAATCACTATAATGATTTCAATGAACTGTCTTGGCTAAGCAAGTTTTGATTAAGCAAACTTTTGATTAACCATTACAGGTACCTCCTCCCGCCGCCACCGGCTCAGCGAACCGGTCTCTGGCTCTGTCGCCTGTTGACCGTATTTGGTTTATTGTTGCTAATTGGCGGGGCTATCGCAATTGTTGCCGGTTATACCTGGCCCCATGAAGGAGTCGAAGAATCAATTGTTCGAATTGCTATTTATCAGGTACTGTGCCTGCATTTGTGGTTTTTGTGGTACCCAAAAATATTGACGTTGCAAAACTAACAGGTTTCAAAAAATGACTTATGTGGGGACCACAATTATATGCTGAGGAAGAAGAGTTAGGATTGAGTGAAAACTTGAATGAAAAAGCGATAAATTCAGCTATAATTGAAATCAGCATGGTTAACGATAACGTAAACTGGGGAAATAAATCCATCATAAATTAGCTGAGTATACGAGAAGAAA